TTTCAAGAGTACTCATCAAGATTTCCGAGCATGGCTGATCTTAAGGTTTAACCGGTGATTAATCCCTAACATTGGTAAGCACAGGTTGTCATCAGTGGCATACTAGAGAGCAAGAATGATTGGGAATCCTTCAATTCTTGTGTGCCGTGAAGAGTTAGTTGAATCTACGTGGGGTCGATACTTTTTATAAAGTTCTATAAATGTGAGTTCTGGTTGCGCGGGGTGCAATCTTGTGGGCACCTTGTCAACCAGAAGGGTATTATAGTTTATCCGGCCAAGATAGAGTTTCATGGGTCTAGCGGGTTATTACCAGAGATTTATGACTTCTCTGAGATTGCGGTTCTTTTGACCCGACTGAACAAGAATTCGGTGGCCTTTCGCTAGGGGCCTGAGTAGCAGACAACATTCAAGACTCTCAGACAGCAGGTTTCGGGAACCAGGGTAGAGCTCCAGATGGAATTCAAGTTCAGTTGTGTGTTAGGTCGAGTGCGTGTTCGACCCAGTAGGGAGAGTGTTGTAAGTATGCGGGGGTAGCCGTAGCATTCACTAAAATTCAGTTAGCATGGAGAGTGTTGTAAGTCTTACGTGGAAAGAGGCGGATCAGAAAGCCTCTCTTATTCTACAATCATCTCTATCAGAAGAAGCCATGACCGAGACTATTGGTCTCCAAACTGCATGAGAGGTGTGGGTCTCTCTTGAAACGTGCATATTGTCATGACTCCCAAGAACGGATACAAACCCTTCAGGATCTTCTTTGTCAGCTAAACAAGGTTTCCTCCACTGTTGTTGAGTATGGTTGCAAGTTTAAGGCTACCTGTGATCAGCTAAGCGCTATTGGCCATCCCGTTAGTGAGATGTATAAGACCCATTGGTTCTTACGTGGGCGTGGGTCTTCTTTTGAGACGTTTTCAACAGCTCAAAGAGTTGTATGTCCCATCCCCTGCTTCCATGATCTTTTATGCCAAGCAGAGAGTCATGAGCTCTTTCTTGCCTCCATGAACAACTTTAACTCTCCCCCTCCGGTTGCTTTTAATACTCAATCTACTCGCACTCCTAATCCTTCTTCTAAAGGACGAAATAGTAACTTAGGGGGGTCCTTAGGTGATTGTGGCCGAGGCAGACGCTTCCCGCATTGTCAACTTTGTCGTACGAATGGCCATTATGCCAATTCCTGTCCTGATCTCGCTACTTATGCTACTCATGGTTCTCCTGTTGATGCTAACCTTGCCTAAGCCTTTCAAACTTAGTGCAATGTTAACACTCCGGACTGGTTTGTCGATTCTAGTGCTTCTTCACATATGGCCAACTCTACTACAAATCTTGATTCTTCGTATTCTTATTCAGATAAGGAACAAGTGGTATTTGGTAATGGTAATTTGTAACGACCCAAATTCCAAGTCTAAAAATTTCATTGTTAGTTAATTGATTTATAAAAAAAAATGTTTATAAGAAAACACCAGCTAATAGTAACTTTTCATAAATCCACAACTCATGTGTGAAAACCACTAGCAATTATAACAATGTCAGAGTACGATCCCAAGAAAATCTTATGTGGAAAACCAACATGTGTGTGTATGATGTGCCGCTACCGTGCCAGCTCCTTCCCCTTCGCTGAAGAGGTACCTGAAACCAAAACTGTAAACTGTAAGCACGAAGCTTAGTGAGTTTCCCCATCATACCATATATCATACAATCACGTAACATACATACTATCAGGCAATTCTGGGGTGCCCGACCTACCCGGTACGGCCATTCTGGGGTGCCGACCTACCCGTGTTAAGCCATTATGGGGTGCTGACCTACCCATGTCAAGCCATTATGGGGTGATGACCTACCCGTCGGTCCTACCCGTAGCGGCCATAGCACGTCCGGAACGCAGTCTTCTATATATCCTCCTTTCTGACCCTCATCTGGTGGTATCCCGAATGCATATCAATCTTGGAGAACCAAGATCCTCCCTACAGCTAGTCAAAGAGATCATCAATCATCGGGAGTGGGTAACGCTTCTTCACCGTTACCTTGTTCAACTCCCGATAATCTATATACATCCGATGCGACCCGTCCTTCTTCCTCACAAACAGAATCGGGGCTCCCTAGGGAGAATTACTTGGTCTAATGAATCCTTTGTCTAACAGCTATTGCAGCTGTGTAGACAACTCTTGCATCTCGGGAGGAGCCAACCGATACAATGCCTTGGTTATCGGAGCTGCCCCAGGGACTAGGTCGATCCTGAACTCCACCTGCCTCTCCGGATGTATCCCACGTAACTCCTTGGGGAATACATCCGTAAATTCTCGTACCACGAACACATCACCCACTGTCGCCTTACCCGCCTCCCGGGTGTCCATGACATAAGCGACATATCCTGCGCAACCCTACGGAAGTTAACGCCTAGCTCTCGCTGCTAAACATACCGCTGGCCCTTGTTGTGGCCTCTCGCCCTGAACTACCAACTCTCCCCCACTTGGGGTCTTGATCTGAACCAGTTGATGTGCGTAATCTATCACTGCCCCATTGGGGCTCAACTAATCCATGCCTATAATCACCTTGTTCCCTCTTAACGAAATAGGAACCAAGTCCACCAGGTTTTAGTTCCTTGAACAATCTCAGCACACAGTCTCGGAATACCGCTGATGCTCGTACCGATCGGTCATCAGCGATCTCTACCTCTAAAGGGGGATCCAACATACCCGAAGGCTCAGGAAGCTCAGGAAACTTCTTGTTAAGCGCAAGAGAGACAAATGATCGGGTAGCCCTCGAATCAAATAATACCTGAACTGGGATACTGTTCATGTAGAACGATCCTAAACAGGGAACATATAACATATCAAAATCACAGAAGCATATCACAAAATCAAAAAGATAGGAAATCATACCCGTCACCACATCGGGTGCAGTGCGTGCCTCCTCAGTAATCAATTGGAATGCTCGGATCCTCACCGCTGGAGCCTCCGCCTTTCCCTTCCAACCATCGGTGATCCTTAGGGTTGCTGGAGCTGGCGCCTTCACTGGCGCTGATGCCGCTGTCAACTGGGGGTAGTTGGCCTTCTTGTGGCCCCTCTGGTTGTAGTGAAAACATAGCAACTCATATGCCTGAATAATCGGTGCAGGGGCAGTACAATCCCTGCTGAAGTTCCCCGCCTTGCCGCACTTGTAGCAGCCCGACGATCCCAATCTACACGCCCCCTCATGTGGCCTGCCGCATTTCCTGCAGCGGCCCGGTCCTGACTGGCCTTTCGGTCTACCATATGATCCTTTGGGCTTCTTCCCCGAAGCCCCAGTCCTCTGACCCTCCTCTATCTTCCTCTTATGGACATGCTCCAGAGTAAATAAGAATTGATGACTTGATGTCAATTTATAAAACGATTTAAAAGCAGTTTGTTTGGTAAGAATAGTTCAAAGTATAAGAAATCATTTGTTTGAAAATATAGATGTAACAGAGTTTAAAAGGAAAGATATAGTATGTAATACAATTTGATAAAGAGTTTAGTATGTAAAGATGTTTTGAGAAATCATTTTGAAGTAGTAGACTGAGTAAAATAGCTAAAGGTGTAGTAAATCTATAGTTTGATAGTTATTAATCACATGTGATTGATATAATAACTATCATGATTCAACTTGTATTACCCCATAAAAGTATTTAAAAAAATTCAAAAACATTTAAAAGGTTAATTAAGGGGGTATGAACTCACCTTCTGTGAGTGCATCGTATGGAAGTGTCGGACAAGTGCTAGGTGTCAAGTGAAGACTTGAACACACACAATGATCCTAATAACATATAAAGACATATATATATATATATATATATATATATATATGTATACAATTAGTGATTATAACACTAATTAGACAAGTATAAACACCCTAAAACGCAGTAAACATTTTGGTTCAAGTGCTAGGAGTTCTTAGGGTTGCATCTAAGGAGCGTAGGGCTTCTCAAAGGAGTTTATGGTCCAAATGGTAACAACTCATGAGTTTACGGCCCATGGTCATTTCCCCATGAGTTTACAGCCGTAAACTCATGGTATTAAGTACCATTTTGTGTATTGAGGTCTTATAAGTCATAAAGAAGCATCCTTACTTCAAGTCTAAGCCTTAGGAAGTCATGGTGACACAATCTTACTCCTTTATAGAGTTTACAACCCATGGACCATTCCTCATGGGTTTAAGGTCGTAAACTCTATGTATTCATGGTCTTTTTGATGTTTAAGGTCCCTAGTTCAATGGTGGTTGGTTCTAGGCTAAGTTCTAGTCATAAGGAAGGAAAAGAGGGCATCATTGCACACTTAAAGGGAGTTTACGGCCTTGGGAGATCCTTGACCGTAAACTCTCATCCAACCCTTTATTCATGATGATTACAAGGCCTAAACATGTTTAATCTAGTGTACAACAAGTTAGAACACGAGTGCTTACGATATAGGAGTTTGAACTGGTTGGTTTTGGCCAAGAACACTAGTGTGTGCTCTTGGTGAAACTTGATGATCTATGAAAACATGATTTTTGTGGATGAAATCATGTAAGGATACTAGATTAAGAGATGTATCAACAAGTCAAGGAAGAATACTTACTAGTTTTGAAGATCTAAGGCGAAGATTGGGATGATAGTTGAGAAGATTTGAAGGAAAATTAGCCAAGGAATGAAAGAATGGAAAAAATGGCCAAGTTTTTCTTATATAGGCATGGAGTTTATAGCCCCCATACCATTTGGGCCGTAAACTCCATATTCTTGGAGTTTTGGAACCTAAATGTTGCACACATTACTCTAAAGTATACTCTCTCCAGCTATCTTTTGCATTACCAGGCTTTATAACACTCAAACTGACTTTAAACCGGCTAAAAATTACCAGAAAGTATTTAAGTTTTAATTGAAGTGCTTGACTGTACAGGATAGAAAATTTCGGGTTGTCACGTTACTTGACGTGAAACCTGTGTTTACACCCTTGTCAACAACTCAGATTCTTACATCGAATGGAGATTTATTTACTAATCCTACGCTTTACATGTCAATAGTTGGTGCGCTTCAATACCTGACTATCACTCGTCGAGATCTTTCATATGCAGTTAATCAAGTTAGTCAATTTTTTCTTGCTTCTACTACTGATCATTTTCAAGCTGTTAAGCGGATTCTACGATATGTCAAGAGTACTATTTCCTATGGTTTGCATTTTCAACATCCAAAAACATCTTCATTGCTTGGATACTCTGATGCTGATTGGGCCAGATGCGTTGAAACTCAACGACCTACCTATGGACACTCCATTTTTCTTGATGGAAATCTGATTTCTTGGAGTGCCAAGAAACAACCCACCGTTTCTCGTTCTAATTGTGAAGCGGAGTATCGTGCTATAGCAAATACAACAGCTGGAATCGTTTGGGTTATCAACTTGCTTCGTGATCTTCATGTTGTCCCTACTGTTGTGCCTACTCTTTTATGTGATAATAAGAGTGCCTTATTCCTCAGTCAAAATCCAATCTCTAAGCGAGCCAAACACATTAACATAGATTATCACTTTGTTCGTGAACTTGTTGCTTCTGGTAAGTTGATCACCCGGTACATTCTCACTCATCTACAACTAGCCGATATCTTCACCAAGAGTCTTTCACGACCTTCGTTTGAGCTTTTTCGTGCCAAGCTTCGTGTTGGACCTCCTCCTCTCAGCTTGAAGGGGGTATTAGATATAATTCAATACAATTAGATATTTAGATTATATTTGATTTAAGTTTTAAATCTCTATTTGTATGGCTAGTTAATTACACTCTGTTGTATTTTGTGTAATATATATACCATCAATATGCAACCTATAATTTTAAGGAAAAATCAATAACTCTTATAACCAATAATAAGAAATAACAAATAACATTCTTTTGACATAATGCTAAAACATGCCACCTTTCATTGGTAGTGTTACGCATTCCAAACTTGCCCTTATACATCCGTGGTACAAACAACCAAGGCCACACACACCGTTACGGTTAAGAGTAACTCGTTGGCACACACAAAGGAAAGGTTTGGCATGCGAACTACTAAGATGTGATGGGCTTGAAATGCAACTTAGAAGGAAACTTGGGGAGTAGTTATGCAATATTCTCATAGACATGGGATGAAACTTGCTACAAATTAAGAACGGAAAGCGAGCTATGCTGATCTAGGGTTTTATCCATTATATCTATCCATCCATCTCCCGCTTTCTGTCTCACTTTCCGTCCACCCCTCGTTTCTTCCATTGACGCCAAGGTAATTCGATTTCATCTCCTCAACTCATGATTTCCCTTGTTATTTTACATACAGATAGCAATTTCAGCATAATAAGGATAGAGTTTGTAGTTTGATCTGCTGATAGAGACGTAATAGTAGTCATTAATTTCATCTTCTTTTGTCTATGACATCTGCAGACAACTTGTTGTTAGATTCATATGTAGTAAATTTCGTACATAGGTCACAAATTCGCAAGTACCAAGATTTGTTGTTCAGTGAAACTTTCCCTGTTCGTTGATTGTTGCCGATTCTAATTAACACATTATATTGTTGCCCTAATTGCAAAATGTATGCATGATTCAATAAAGCTATTATTTCCTTTATCTCCGAAAAAACCTCGAAGTTAGATTAGTCCAATGGTTTTAGCTTGTTGCTGATTGCTCCGTACATCAATTCGAAACATTGTTTATCTCATTAGATGTTTCTTGACAAAGTATCAGCATCTGTTAGGTGAAAATCAACATATTGATACTCATTTTTTTCTCACATAGATACAGAATTTATCAAAATCTTCTTTTTTGTACTTGTGGCAGATGAATGTAGAAAAGCTACAGAAGATGGCTGGTGCAGTTCGCACTGGTGGGAAGGGTAGTGTTAGAAGGTGTGCTTTTGATATGTCTGTATATTGTTATTATCATTATGTTGTACAGAATGAGGACAAATTTGTAAAAGAATTAGAACTTAATGGGGAAAGCCTACTTTCTCTTTGCATCAAAACAAAGCATCACTTCAGTTATTGATTTGATTTGAAATGCAGAAAGAAGAAGGCTGTGCATAAAACAACTACAACAGATGACAAAAGGCTACAAAGCACTTTGAAAAGAATAGGAGTAAATGCAATACCAGCAATCGAGGAAGTTAACATTTTTAAGGATGAGACAGTTATTCAGTTCTTGAACCCTAAAGGTACTCATTTTTAAAGATAATCAGTTCTATCAGCTTTTTTTTTTTTGATTTTTTTTTTTTGACACAAAATCAATTTTCTTTCGTTTTTGTCTCAGTTCAAGCCTCAATTGCTGCCAACACTTGGGTTGTTAGTGGTTCTCCACAAACAAAGAGTATGTTTACAGTTTACTTTTGATATATGATGTTCTTATTCTTCATGTACATTGATATTTATGATCTTATGTTTTACTCTTTTTATTTTTTGGTTTCAGAATTGCAAGATATTCTACCTGGCATTCTCAACCAGTTAGGTAAGTGTTAAACATTTATATCTTTTATCATGCTTAATTTTTGAATGAGAAATCTTTCTTTAAAAATAATCATGATTTCTAATAAATTACAATTTTGTGTTTTACAGGACCTGATAATTTGGATAATTTGAGAAAATTAGCAGAGCAGTTTCAGAAGCAAGCACCAGGGGGTGGTGAAGGCACTGCTGCTGCAACAACACAGGATGATGATGATGATGATGAAGTTCCAGAGCTTGTTGCAGGTGAAACTTTTGAAGCTGCAGCTGAGGAAGGACAAAAATCATAGGACTTTTCAAGTGGACCAGATTACCCTTTACATTTCCAGTCTTTTGTGTTCCCTTTTTTTATTTATAAAGAAAAGAAGAGGAACATGAAAGATGATTTGTCCTTTGTTTGCTTTTAGACTTGTCATGCAACCAACGGTTTGCTGTTGAAATTCTCTATATATTTGCTGTTTGTATTATCGAGTTATCTAGTTCTACATTTCAGAAATGATATTTTAAAAAATAAATTGGATAATTAGGAAATGGAACTGAAAAAATAATAATAGGGTAAATTTGTAAGAGCTTGGGACTTCATGGGGAAACTCTCCTTTCCTTGACTTAATGGCGTTCCCTTAATCAAAAAAGAAACATTCATATATATAGCTTAACAGGTTAAGTAATTAGATGTTAATCTTCCAATCATGTTTTCTCTCAAGGGTAGGAATCATATCGAGACTTTGATTATGTTGAAGGATGTTTTTGTGCTTTCACGTGGAAGAATCACAACTAGCCAAATTAGGGTTTAATCTTGAGGTGATTGGGTTTTGGATTTCATTTTGATAGATGACTGTTTGATTTCAATTAGTGAAATCTATCAAGATTTGTTTGTGTTGAGTTTTATGAATTTGGTTTATAAATAAATATAAAAATTCATGAAGAAAACCAAAAGTAAGAGGATCATTGATCAAAATGACCTTCATGTGAAACGACATGTGATTGAAAAAGGGTTTAGGGCTTGAATTGAGGGCATCATTTATACTTAGACCAGACGGTGTGGATGAACGGTGGATGGGTATTTTCGGAATTGCACTAAGGAACATCACATCCTTGGTGTGGGGTAAGGTGAAAGATAGGAGCGTGTGGGGGGATTCTAAATACTTCCGATTTAAAAGTTAAAAACCATTTTAAGTGTCAAAAACCACTTTGACTTTAAATAAACCCAATTTGATGGAATTTTAGATGATGATTACTTATTAAATTGACGGACATATTCAATTTACCTATTATATTTGACACAGTAAAGTAATGTCTAACTATAACTAAATTATTGGTGTTATAGAAAGTTATTAAAACTTTCATTTATAACCTTCTAACATATACTAAATTTATAATTTATACTATCAACAATTAAATATTTGATCATAGGAATTAACATATAATATCTCAATTTAATTTCGTATAACTATAGAATCTATTTTGTATAATTACATAATCAATTTTATTTTGTATAATATCTCAATTTTATTTTAGAGATTTGCATATAATATTTCAATTTTAAGTTTTAATATCAACGATATCAATCGAGCTGCAATACGAACCTAACGAATATGAATAGAGATTTTGTTTATATTTGTTCATTTAACCTTAAATGACAGATAACGATCATGAACAATAAAAAACATAATATAATAATTCTTCACAACTATAATTTTCATTTACCACCGTCTTGTCAAATATTATCATATTTTAATTTTATTAATTATCAGGGACATCAACTACATGAATATTACAATTATTATGTGGTACATTCGACGAAATATATTCATTAAGTCGAACATTATACAACATTTCTCATCCAACAAAACGTTCTGATCTGTTGTGACACCAAAGTAACAAAACTATAGGCATTGAATATGATTCTTGTAAATCAACTTTTACGTAATGGTCATTATGAACGAAGGAGATAACAATAGATCTATGATGTGAGATGTCTTGATGTGTCACTAATGAAGTAAGCATTTTCATTATCATCATCGTGAGTTGCATTGTTTGTGTAAATATCATTAGTCTAACCAATACATACAAATATAAATATTTGATTTATAAAAACATAAATATCTGAATACTAATAAACGAACATACCTCGTAATTTAACTCATCAAACGATGGCAAATTGTAACATTCAGTTCAAGTGAGGGATTGCTATCGTTTAAAAATTCAAGATTTAACCCTACTCACGACGTGAGCCCTTTGGGTGTCATGTTGTGAGGAGGTTGGTGCAATCGCGTATATTTTAAGCCTCACGACGTGGGAGTATTTTGACTCACAATGTGAGGTTAGTTCAGGATGAAACCCTAATCTTGGGGTTTTGTCCCGTATTTAAAGGAAGTGAGGGCTAGGGGTAGCCCACCCTCAACCCCCATCACCTCCTTGCACCTCCTTTCTGGAACCCTAGCATTCATATTTGATCTTAAGCTCATTTTGGGTGATTTTAGCTAATGAGAAGAAGAGGAAGAGTATCTAGCCATCATTTATGCATTCAAGTCTTTCCATCAAGCATCATCTCACGTTTTGGAGCCTTTGTGAGTTTCAAGTTCATTTCTTTATGAATCTATAAGCGTAGAATTAGGTTTTTATGCTTAAATCCTTCTTTCCCTTGATGAAGTAGTGGTTAGAATCCATAAAGTTAACAACTTTATAGATCTCCAGTGCCTCTTGAGTATTATAACTTCTAGATCTGGATTTTGGTGGAGTTTTATGACTCTTGCACGAAGACTTAGTATCATTTTCTTACTTTGCACTTTAGTGGTGTTTGGGACATGCATTAGGCATGCATGTTCAAAAAGCCACGATTTTTATGATGCTCTACAGTGGTTAAGACCCTAGGAAAGATTTGGTTGCTTGACAATCCCTGTCTATTTTGGACTTATTTGGTCACGACGTTACCATTAAAGGACACGACGTGACCAGTGAATCAGGGATTTGACTAAGTTTGACTCAAGGGTATTTTGGGGAATTTCCACTAATTTAGAATAGGAAATGTTTTGATCGTTGGGAGTCTAGTAGTACCGGTTGTCGGAGCAGAGATTCATTCAGACTGTATCTGGATTGAGAGGTGAGTTTTCCTCATTGTACTTACGGGTCGAAGGCACAAAGGTCGACTCATTGATTGATATCCTGATTTGTCGTATGTTGCTATGCTATGGTGATAGTTAGATGTGTATCCTGGTATATAGGATGCTGTTATGTTGTAGTAATTTGTTAGATCTGTATCCTGGTATATAGGATGTTGCTATATTGTAGTGATCTTTTAGATTGGTATCTTGGTTTATAGGATATTGTTATGCTGTATTGATTTGTTAGACCTGTATGAACACCTGTATATGCTAGCTATTGATTGTTATGGTATATGTTGATATGTGATGGTCATCGGGTTGAGGTGGTTCTGCTTTGTGCTGAAGGCCAAGATACCCAAGGCGGTCCGGATAGACTGAAGGCTTTCTATGGGTTGTTTTTGAAAGTTTTGGGATACTATATTATTCGATAAACATTTTGGAAACATTGGTTTTGTAAACATTTTTTATAACTATGGGTTGTTTTTGAAAGTTTTAAATTGTTGTGATTTTTGGGATGTTACACAAATATTTTAGCCAACTCATTTTTTTTACTTAGTTTATTGTTTTTCAAAATATCGTACAATGAAAATGAAGTTTGGGACACATTCATTTATAGTAAAACTTTAGGAATGAAAAAGAGTACTATATAAATTATATGGTAAATTAAAGGACCATATATGTAAATATAGTAATATTATTTTGATTTGATCATAATGGTATTCATTTACATCACACTAAAATAAAAATAAGATATTTATTGTAAATGTAGGGTAAAATAAATGAACATAAATATAAATATAGTTATATTATTTTGACTAGTTTATAACTCGTGAAACCACGGTTACAAAATTAATTAAACTTTAATAGTTAGAACACAAAATTATTAATCAATTATAATAGTTAATTTAAATAAATATGTAAAATTATATCACCTTATAATTTGTATTAATTTTATTTTAATTTTTATTCCATTGTTATTAATTTATTGTAATTAAAGTGAAAATATTAAAATTTGAAATAGAGAATTAATAGGTTGACAAGTGGTATGCATTAATTAAGAGGTTTAATATGGTGATACATGATAAAAAAAATGTGTATTAATTAAGAGGCCTAATATGATGACACATTTCAAAAGAAGGTTAAAACTATTCTTTTATTAGAATAGGGATTTGATCGTAGTGATATTCATTTTCACCACACTGAAATAAAGATAAAATATTTATTGTAAATGCAGTGTAACTTAAAGGACCATAAATGTAAATATAATTATATTATTTTGATTTGATAGTAAAATGATTATATTTTAATTTTATTATAAAGAGCCTTATATATAATATTAAGAGGTATGTGTATGTTTGCCGTACTAAAAAAACTTAAAATCTTTTTTAAATTATCTTTTATATACTTATTCAAAACGCATCGGTCTTATCTAGTTATGTAATTAGGAAGAATATTATATTAAGTTTGGTTATATTATTTTGATTTTATCGTTTTGATATTCATTTACACCGCACTAAAATAAAGATATCATATTTATTGTAAATGTATCGTAACTTAAATGATCATAAATGTAAATATATTTATATTATTTTGATTTCATCGTAATAGTATTCATTTACACCGCATTGAAATAAAGATAATGTATTTATTGTAAATGTATGATAACTTAAAAGACCATAAATGTAAATATAATTATATTATTTTGATTTGATCCTAATGATATTCATTTACATCGTACTGAAATAAAGATAAAATATTTATTGTAAATGTAGGGTAACTAAAGGAACATAAATACAAATATAGTTATATTATTTTGATTTGATAGTAAATATGATTATATTATATATATATATATATATATATATATATATATATATATATATATATATATATATATATATATATATATATATATATATATATATATATATATATATATACACACTATTAGGACGTATGTGTATGTTTGTCCTGCTATACAAACTTAAAATCTTTTTAATAAATTATCTTTCGTATACTTGTTCAAAACCCATGGGTCTTATCTAGTTATGTAATTAGGAAAATATCATAGGGTAAATTTCACGGATGGTCCCTATGGTTTAGGGTAATTTATGTCTTTGGTCCCTAACATTTTTTTTAATTCGGCCTGTCTCTACTTTATATTTTTGTTGCATGCTTGGTCCCTATTCGTTCTAAAAAGACTAATTTGCCCTCATCAATTTCTTTTTTTAATTAAATTTCTATTTATTTATTAATGAATTATTTTATTATTATCTAAAAGAATTTAAACAAATAATACATGTGAGTCCCTCCCTTATTGCCTCCTTCAACTTTGTTCTTCCCTCGACCTTTCTCCCATCTTCATTCCTTTCATCCCAACTCCAGCGACTTCACTAGATCTTCGAAAAACACCAAACAATCAAACCCCCTCTTTCTCGGAGAAAAATTTTCACCTGAAAAAATAAATGACAACGAAAATCAACAAGATTTTAGTCAACACAGGAATGTGCAATGTGTGATATATACATCTCAT